GCCAGTTCAATCCCTGGCTGCTCCCCAGCCACCGGAGGAGGGTCCCACATGGCGCGCAGACCTCTCCTGCCGCCCGCTGCTCCCCTCAGCAGTGCACTTCGGTCCTTCTGCCTGCTCTGCTCCCTGCTCTGGCTCTGGTGAATTCTCTCACCCTCCCGCGCTTCTGACTGTACCCAGTGCATGTATAAACAACAACAACAAAAAAACAAACAACCAAACAAATAAATAAATAAAAACATGCCTCTATTTAAAAAAAAAAAAAAAACAATCAGTAGCTTTAGCTGGATGCTTGGGGAGATATCCTGTAAGACTTAGAATGGTTTTAAAGTGCTTACTGTTGCAGAAAGAACCTCCTGAAGGTTCCAAAAATGATACTGGATCTTGTGGGAGGAAATGTTTCCCAGTTTTCTAGGTTTCTGTAAATATACATGAGTTATATGGTTATAAAACCTTATGATGGAAAATATGTTTAAGAAACATTGGTGCACTCCCTGGCAGGGACCGCACAAAAGATGCCCTAACACATTTAATGCCCTAGTTTAATGTATTGCACAAGTCTTATTTTCTGCAACTGGGTAGACAGAACATCTTTTCTCTTTTTATTCTAAGCTTCCATCTCCCCCCTCCTCCACCTTGCTACTTCAATGGCATAATAAATGGAAATCTCATTTCCTGCTTTTGCAGACCTATTTACCTGAATGTCTAAGCTCACCCTTCCCTTTCTCATGTCTACTCTTTCTGAAATAGGCTTTTACTTTGATCTCCCTGGCTTCGTTACCCTCATTTTTATAAGCCTCTTCTAATCCGGCACTCCATGTACTTTTATCTGCAATGTTGGACATTGCCGTTCTGCATAGCCACCTTTCAACATGCGCCATCTCCCAGATTCGCATTTTCTTCCATTATAAATTAAAATCCCTTTTTGCAGTCTGTAATGGTGAAAAAAATTTAAAGAACCATTATCAAAAGGCATTTCTGCCAATTTAAAATGTCTTTGTCCCTTTTAATTCCATTATTTTTGTAAACTAAGACTTGGATTTACAGGTTGTACCTGTATGACTATATGTATTATTTTTGTTACAAACAGGAATACCCTTATGCCCCATGCCCTTTCTGGTCTTATTTTTGGAGCTCAGAATTGGTGATTTTAAAATAATAAAATATCTTTGTGTGTAAGAATGACAGAGAATATATATAATCTATAAAGCATAAACATGTACAGTAAAAATGCACTGACCCCTTAAAGACTTTAACTCATTTAAAAACTTATCTGTTGGGTGGAACATTTTTTTTTTTTCCAAAATAAAGTTCTTACACATGTAGAGAAATGAGTACATAAGAGACTGAGCTGGCCTATTGAGACGCCTTTATGGAGCAGTTCTAGCAGTTCTAGACTCCTTCTCCTTATGGTTAACTCCCAGACCCTGGCTTCCTGTCTGTGAAATAGTGCGATCGGACTAGATGCTCTGAGATTGAAACCATGTTGGGGTGGATGTGAGTGTGTATGGTGTGTAAATGTTTCATGGGAAACACCTGCCAGTGGAACTAAGAGGTGGTCTGGTAAATCATCGTGGTTGATGGCAGGGTTTATCCTACCCCGGAGAGGATGTTTCTCTTACTCAGCCTGGATATTTCTGCTACAGCAAGGGTGGTTGATCATTTAATTGAGGTGGGAAAAATACAGGGTACAGTCACAAAAGAAAAATATGTTTTTCAGGCTTAAAAGAAGTATTCAAGCCATGCTGATTGTTGCAGTGACACGTTTTTAATTCCTCTTAAACCACTTTAAATATCTGCTGAGGGATGTTAAATCAACCCCAGCATTTGTAGTGTCATGTTGCCCAGAGCCAATACTGTATAGTTTTCATGGATGCCCTTAGGAGATTTCTGCCCCTGCATTGTGGTAATGCAGTTGGACTTCTTTGGAGTCTAACCCTTTGCCCTCTTGCAGTGAAGCACCAGGCTCCGGAGTTCTGGCTCCAGCTTCTAAGCCACTGGATCACTCGACTCGCTTCATGCTGTCTGTACATAAAACTTCTCTACCTGCTTTATGCCTTTCTAATAAGGAAGTTGGAAGTTAGGGTTCTTTAATTGTGTCTGAAAAACCAACAGAGCAACATGTTTGGGACCAATATTTTAGTGAGATGTCAAAATAAACTCAAAATAGAAACCCTTCTTTAAATCCCTTTTCTGAGTCCCCTTGTATTGCAGACCACATAAAATCAAAGTGCTGGAGCACAGCTGTTCTAAATGCTGAAGGTCCTCATGGTTATAGCATGCTTTGGAAAATCAACCCTATCAGATTTTCAGTTCATGAAAATATTTGTTTTGCTTAACAAAGTTCCTGGGCAACATTTGTTATCAGGAAAGTCTTTATATCTTTTACCTTTCAGATCCTGATTTCTCCTTTATCACATTGGGGAATTCCAAGGGATGAGTTTTACTTTTGTTTCTGGTATTGTTGCAATAGATGTCATTTCTCCCTAATTTTGTGTCCTCATCCAAGAAAGAGACTTGAAGACTGGGTTTTTTTGTGTAGGTCAGAAATACTCCTGTGTGAATAAGAAAGACCGTGCCTGTCACAGCACCTGCTCCTGTGTGGGCCATCACATAGCCATTTGGCTTCTTGGCTTGGGGCTTTAGGCACTATAAGGGCAGCTCTCTTCAAGCCACCTGAGAAATCAGTATCACCTCCAAATTCTTTTTTTTTTTTAATTTTTTAAAAAAATTATTTATTCATACAAGCACTGGGTACAGTCAGAATCGCGGGAGGGTGAGAGAATTCACCAGAGCGGGGAGCAGAGCAGGCAGAAGGACCGAGGTACACTGCTGAGGGGAGCAGCGGGCGGCAGGAGAGGTCTGCGCGCCATGTGGGACCCTCCTCCTGGTGGCCCGGGAGCAGCCGGGAATTGAACCAGCGCTGCAGAGGCTACGGGTAGCTTCGCAACCCAGCGCTCAACTGCTGCGCCACCGGGGAGGCCCTCCAAATTCTTATTTATCTCCTAGTGTGTTGTTTTTGGTTTTTGGGGTTTTTTTTGCCTAAGCATTAGGAATCAGTTGACCAGATGCCATTCTTATAGGCAGCACATTTGCCTGCATTCCTAAAATCAGACTGATGTGGCAGTGGGGATGGGGCATAAGAGACAAGTATTAGGCCAGAAGAAACAACTGTTCCTCCATTTACAGTCTCCTTGGCATGGCACTGGCGGGCACTCAGCGCCAGCAGGACTTGGCATCATGGTGCACCACCCCCTGCTTTGCCTTAACATCCATTTCACTGCCAAACAGCTGAAGGGGAGGCAGCTGGGAAACTTCATGTCCTGACTCAAGACCTCAGAAAGTTGTGTTTTGAAAGATTTCAGGCTCATCCACAGTGGTCTAAGCCTAGCTCCTGGGAGTTAGTTGGTCATGGTGTTACAGCACCAGCTTGGGAGCCAGGTTGAGTGAGGGTTGCAGCAGGACCAGCATAGGGGCAGCACTGTGCATAGCACATGTGCACTCAGGGGGTAAGCATCTCCCTAACTCATGCCCACTTTCTTTGGGACAAAATGTTACTTGGGCGTCTGTGTGAATGTTCTAGTTATTGAAAATTCTTGTGAGGGTTTCCTGGTAATTTTCATTTTTGTTGCAAATACTAACCATTTGGGCATTTAGTGATAAATTTTTAGTTTCCCAATTTTATTAAAGTTCCTTCAAGCATAGCTCACCCAGGTGAGACAGAAATTACCTTTCTGTTTCTGCCCGCTTGCCTGTTGCGGAATCTCTGGCTTTTCTGTTCACATTTCTGCTGGTTTTGAGTTGCCTTTGAAAGTCAGGCATGAGTCTGTCTGCCTGTTTTAACCCCCTGCCCCCACCCAGGTCTGTGGAAGGGGAAGCCCCTGACTTCACCATGTCTCTTCAAGTGAAAAGCATGTACAACAATACAGTTTCGAACTTGATGGTTTGAATTGAATCCCCTTTTGAGCCTTGTCAATGAAATGGAGTTCCCACCTGGTTGGATAGCTTTCATTTCAAAGCCAGGCCTTGGATTTTTCAGTCAGGCATGGTAAGGAACAGTTGGGTAGATTTGTCAGAGAAATTGGTTTGCTTGTGGAAAATTTTCTAACTCTTTCCTGTTCTGCTATGTATAATTTAGATCACAAGGATAGTGATTGACCTTTTCTCCTTGCACTTCCCTACTCATACATGCTTGTGGAGGTGCGGGTATGAGGGAACAATAAATGGAGAGCACATTTCAGGAGAGGCTGATACTAGCCTACACATTCCCTTCTCTGTATTTTTTTCTTTGGCTCTAGCATCCTAGAATGTTTAATTTCATAGTGGTAAGTTCATTCCTAAATTCATTGATGGATTAAATACCAGGGAGAACCTACTTAATAGTGAACCATGGTTCCAGACTCATGAGTAGTATTTTGGGTTAGCTGAGTTGTAGGAGGGTGGGCCCTGTGCTATGGGGAGTGTAGAAGAAATACATGGTCTCAGGGAGCAGTAGCAAAGTAGGCTTGGTTCTCCATGACACATTCTTACTAGAAGGTAGTAGTGGGAAGCCAGAGAGCTGTGGAAGGGATCCAGATGTTTAAGTCTATTTCGCTGATGCTTCTGTAAGACCAGTAACCGCCTCTCCCTTGCTTTTGTTGAAATCAAAGATACTTGTGGGTCATTTATTCTTACTCCTCATCTGATCTTAGGTCACTGGTTTCTGTGACCTGTTGTTAGGAGTGAAACCAGCGCTGTTTGGTGTGATGCAGGAAAGGGATGAGGTACATGATTAATGTTTGAGTGGTGAAACTTGGATTTTTCCTCATAGGGTAAAAAGTCGTAAGACTGGTAGAGGGAAAAAAAAATCATTAAAACATTAAACACACATATGGGGGGGGGGTGGTTGTGTGTGTGTGTGTGTGTGTGTGTGTGTGTGTGATATCCATGTAGTTCTTGGCAAGTAAATTGCACCTACTAGTGATGGATGTTCTAACCAAATGTTTTTTTTCTCTCTACTCTAGGAGGTGACTTTGGTCCAGAGACTTCCACTCCAGTCCAGCCCCCTGGCCATAGTGGTGACTTTTTGAGCAGTCTTCCTATGGCAGAAGACAACTACAGGGTGAGCTTGGCCAAAGGAGTGTCAATGTCTCTGCCTTCATCACCCCTTCTGCCTCGACAGTCTCACTCTGTGCAATCAAGATCAAACAAAAAATCCCCAGGTAAATGCCCCAATTAGTTATGTAAGTTAATACATGTATTGAAATTAAGCACAACTAGTGTTTAATAGGAATCTTCTGGTTTAATAAGACGTCTTCTGGGAGAAGGAATTTTTTTTTTTTTTACAGTAACATCTAATATAATGAAAAAAAAAATTTTTTTTTTTTTGCTTCAGATTTGAATAGACTCTTCAGCCGATATCAAAATCATTTTTATTGCCCAGGCTAGACTTTTACAACATTCCAGATCTTATATCAATATTAATGTTAAGCATAGGTTTTAATGCATTCTTGCTTATGAATTAGGGAATGCAATAGTCTAATCTCATTGTGGTGTATTACAAGGTTATGAATTTCCGCCAGTGTGTCTGACAACAGTATTTTTATTAACACCAAATGTTATATACTGATGTATATTCTTGATTACATGACCCACCATTTGAAGAGCTCTAAAATTGGTTTGTGAATATTCACATTTGTAAAGGGATGGTGGCAAGAGATACATGGATTCTCTGAATTAAGTGTTTTCTCCTCATTACCAACTCTCTACACTTATCTTTGCCAGTAATACCCCAAACATGCTTAACATTGAGAGGTTATGACTCAGATGTGAGGAAAGCCTTTCCACAAAGCTGATACCTGGAACTGTAAACGTCTTTGATGTTATTTTAGTTTTGCTGAGTATTTGTTTCCTGAGGGAAGGCAGAATAACTTGGAAAGTTGTTGATCATAATGCCAGAGAGAGATTCTTCTCATTTACATGTAAACATGTTTGGAATCATGTTAAAGTGTGCTGGGCTGTGGAATTGGTATATTTCTCTGGTTTCCTAAGTGTTTGTGTTACTTGATATGGCACATGCATTATTTCTGAATCATTTAGTGGATATTTGTGGTTTATGTGGGAGTAAAATTAAGAGAGGAAAATCTGAAAACTGAATAGAAATAGTGCTGTGAATTGGTGAGTGTCCAAAATGTTTTATTGTTCTAGAACTGTCTTATTTTGGACAGCATTGTTTACAGTCCAGTCATTAGCTGGAACTTGGAAACCTTTTTGGTATGAAGTGATTTCCTGTGCCAAGGAAGTTTGACCTGTTTATCACTATTTGGGGAAATTCCTGGAATGTCTTTTCTTCTTTCTTTGTCCTCCCTCCCCCGAGTGATATATCTCTGTCAGATTTCTTCTCTTCTTTTGACTCATAGTTCCCACACTGCCTCTCTTACAGGTTATTACCCTATTTGAATTGTTCTCTATAAATTGTGCACAGTATTTTACTTAGTCTTTTATCAGCCACGTAATTGTCCTTCTTCCTTTAGAGTGAGTGTGTGTGTGTGTGTGTGTGTGTGTGTGTGTGTGTGTGATGGTTGAGAACAAGTGTGATGTCTTCTTTACATTGTTCTCACCTATATGAAACAGAAGAGAATCCTGAACCAGAGTTGAGGGTAATGACTAGTGCAGATTTGAAGTTTAGGACAATTTACCTTCCTATAGCCCATGCTGCTGCAAATGAATTGGTGCTGCTTGGGCTTTAGGATTGTGAGCAGTGGAGAGACTCTAGGAAATACTACATTTAAGATATAATTTTAATAATAACAAATTCAGTGTTGGTTTCAGTGGACCTTTTTAAAATTTATTAGCCATAGTAGTGATTTTATAGATGTACATGTTGTAAAATGATTATCACAATAAAGCCATCACTTCACATCATTACTACTTGTTTACTTGGTGATGTTTTGGTGGGATGTTAGGTCTCCATGAGTGGTATGACAGGTCCTGGAGTGCATGGCTGTGCAGAAGGGCTCAGCCTTCATGCGTGCCAGAAGGGAAATCCCTGACATGACCTTGTCTCCTCCTGTGTTCTGACCAAATTTAGGTCATCTTTAATTTTGAGAAAACTTAAGTTTTTCTCCATAGGTGTAATATTTATTTCTGCTAAGTTCCTTACAAGGCCATATGAATAGGAAAGAATAGTTCTGCAGTAGTCAATCTTTTAATGAATTGAAGAAACTATTCTCCATTCTAAATGCTTTTTTTCCAAATGGTAATTAAATACACTAAACTGATACTTCTAGTGGAGCAGTGCTTGTGTATTGCTCAAATTTGTGAGCAAATTAGTGTCTCACAGTGGTAATTCGGCTTCATTATCTTGGTAAATTTACTTTGAAATGAAAGGTTAAAAACAGACATTCTTACTTAAAAATGGCAGTGATTCAAATACACCAGACAATAAACAATATCTTTTTCTAGCGTCTAATACATAGGTTCCAGTTTAATTCATATTATTGGAAAAAGTATCTAGAGCCTTAACGTTCTACCTGCCTGTGAAAATAGTTGTCATATGTTCATGAACGTGCACTGGATTTTAAAACAGCCATCTATTAAAAAAGCTGGCACGGGGCTTCCCCGGTGGTGCAGCGGTTGAGCGCTGGGTTGCGAAGCTGCCCGCGGCCTCTGCCTCGCCGGTTCGATCCCTGGCTGCTCCCCGGCCACCAGAGGAGGGTCCCACATGGCGCACAGACCTCTCCTGCCGCCCGCTGCTCCCCTCAGCAGTGTACTTCAGTCCTTCTGCCTGCTCTGCTCCCCGCTCTGGCTCTGGTGAATTCTCTCACCCTCCCGCGCTTCTGACTGTACCCAGTGCTTGTATAAACGAACAAAGAAACAAACAAATAAATAAATAAATAAAACATGCCTCTATTTAAAAAAAAAATAAAAAAAAAAATAAAAAAGCTGGCACTTTGTTGCTTATGATACAATGTAAAGGAGGCACTTGCAGTGCTGCCCATAGGCATTAGCTCTCACTTTGCTCTCCCCACCCCACCTGAGCAGGGACTGTGCTTCAGAAGATCCTCATCTATCAGACCCAGCTCTGAAATCACCTTAATGACTTTTGTTCTCATTTGTAAGGAGACACCCCCCCCCCACCTTTCTCTTTCTTTTAAGAAGGTGCTTTAAAAAAAAAAAAAAAAAAAAAAACCAAACCAAACAAACCCAAACCTGTTTTACTTGTTTGGATAGCTGCTCTTCTCTAATTGATACTAATCTAGGAACTGCCAGGGACCTGAACTATTATTCTAGCAAAGGTCAAACACTGTACACCTCTGTAATGGGAACTATCCGAAGCCTATTTTTTTTTTAATTTTATTTTTATATTCCCCATACAATGCAACCCCCTTATTTTGACCCCAATCCCTCCTTTCCCCCTCTCCCCCCCCATAGTGTGTCTCTGGTTCATAGTTGTTTGTTGGGAAGCCTATTGTTGATGAAAGTTGGTATGCTAATATGATTAGTGATTAACTCCTGGGCCATGGGAACTATAGGCCAGACAGAAAATTTTATTCACATTGCAATAGTGTGACCCTGAATTTTATGTGATTGGGTTTCTTAATTTACACTTAATTTTGCTGGCTATCTTTATTTAGTCTTCTTTCACCTTGTTCCATTTATTTATGTATTTTTTTTTCACTGCTAGTTGGAAGATTCAGTTTTCTGAATAATGCTTCAAATTTTTTTCCTGTTTTTTAAATGGAAAATACATTTTCTGACAAAGAAAACAAGGACCAGTATCCAATTAAAGTAGTTCTGTGGCTGTTGCAAGGCTTTTGGATTAAGAATTCATTAACATTTGTAATATATCCTTTTGTCTTCCAGAGAAGGGCAAAGCCCATTTCCTGTGGTTTATTTATTAGTAATATCATTAGTGGCTTTATATTTGAATTACATTTCCCAGATCACTTTGGGCCCATTACGAAACAATCAAAAGGTAGGACATGAATGAGAAGCAACCTTTTAAAATGCTGTGATGGTGTAGGGCAGCAGATGGTGAAAAGTGGGTGATGCTGCTTTTGCCTTCCTCCCTTGTTTAGGGAGACCAGGCAGTGCTGGCAATTTGTACCTTTGCAGCTTCCAGTTCCATCTCCATAGACAGAGCTGATGGAGAGGCTATGAAAGCCCCTTTGGCTGGCTGTCTCTTTCAGGGAAAAGCCTCAAAACTGACAGGCTGCAAAGTGGCAGTCATTCTGCCCTTGGGTCCTGGGACCCTGAATTGATGTCTACCAAGGCCCTCTCTTTTCTCACCCAAAATAGTGTTTCTTGTAGAAAATTTGGAAATCCCGGCACCTGCAAAGATACAGAACAACCAGTTGTGTTTTAATTTTCTAGTTTTTTAAAAAATATTGATTCCATTTAAATCTGCAGCTGTATATTCTGTTTTTTTTCTTTCCACTTAATATTATAACTTGAGCAATTTCAATCTATTTGAAGAGCTTAAGGTCCATTGTTTGAATATTCCATAATTGATTTTTAACAAATTTCCAATTGTTGAATCTGCATACATTATTATTTAGTTTAAAAAATTATGGCATTAGCAAAATGTTTTGGTTTTTTGTTAAATTCCTATAATTTGCTAATTTTTCATTTTAATAAAATGCCTTCCAAAATTTACCATCTTAAGTGCTTTTAAGAGTGTAGTGCATAGTGTTAAGGACACTCAACAGTGTTGTGAAATCAGTTTCCAGGACTACTGATTGGAACATTTTTGTCCAGTAATTTTTATACAGATCTGATAACTCAAAGAGTGGCAGGTTCCCAGAAGTGGAATTAGTGACCTAAATGGACTGCATTTTTAAAGATTCTTGGTGCAATCTGCCCAGTCACTTTGCAGAAAAGCTGTATTGATTTCACATTCCCTCTAGCATTCTTTGAGAGGCTTCTTTTTGAAGTTGACATCATCTGGGAATCAGCCTTAAATGGATGTGCTAGTAGGTTCTCTGTCAGGCCTAGTGACGGACTATAGAGAATTAGAGGAGCTGAGAGAAGTCTTTCTGGAGCCCTTCTCTTGTGAACTTCCCTTCTGTCTGCACTTCTCAGACAATTTCCATTTTCTTCCCTTCCACAGGACTGTCAGGGGAATTATCACAGCTGAGTCAGATCAAGTTCATGATCAGAAAAACACTTAGCTGGCTTCCAGTTTTTGCTTCCACGGTAGTCTGTTGCATGGGGAGGAGTG